TCAGAGTCTACTGTTTTACCAGGGGGCCTCCATTTATAATATGAAAAATAGAGGAGTCTGGCACCTTGCATGGCAAGTTCTAATGAATTTGAGATGACAGAGGGAAAAAGGAGCACTATCGGGAGGCCCAAGCAGTCTTTGTTGTTTCCGGGCACCTCAAGTCAGACGTGAATGTGACTTCTGAGAACGAGAGACAGCAAAGCTGGCTGCATCGAGTGACAGGTCAGGACCGTAACAGTAAGGTCTGATGATATCACCATTTGTTTACTTGTATAACCCTCACTCAGCAAACCCAGAGAGTAGATACCATAAGGGCTATCTGGATAAAGAAATGGGCTTGTGGAGATCAAATAGTTTTTGCAGATTTTCACAGTGGCAGAAAGGTCCATCCTACAATAGAAATCGAAAGGGGTCTGCCTTCCTTCCCAGAATACAACACTCTCTCTTTTTTGTGACCTCCAACTAAAAGTCTTGCAGCTTAACAATTGCCAGCAACTGCTCAACTTCTCAAAAGGGCTAGGGTTGGCTGTTGAGGGAAGCACACCTAGTAGCAGATCATATTATTCCCTTTTGATAGGTCTTTGTGTTTGAAAAGCACTGACAGTATCAGTAGTAAGACTATGAATGCTCCTTGTGTCCTAAGCAATAACCCCAAATAGGGTCTTCTGTTGCCCAGGAAATGCTTAAGTATGGAATTAAAATTTATTTCAGTTACTCTTTGTGTAGGAGTGGACCCAGGAGCAAATAAAGCAGCTCTTAGAGGAAGTCTGTGAAAGTGGAATATAGCTGAAAATGCTAGAGAAGGTAACAGAGCAGAGGTCAAGGTTTCTGGAATGTCCCGAAGGCACATGTGTTAGAGGGATGGCCCCAAGTCCATTGCATACAAGGAGACATTCAGAATTTAGGAGGTGGAGTTGAGTGGGAGCTTTAGGGCATTGGTGGTAATCTCTCGGTGAAGCTATGGGGCCCTGGACTTCTCTTTCTGTTTGATTTCATACCATGATGGGCTGCCCCCGCCACCCCTGCCGCCCCAAGACTCAAACACTATAAACAAATTCATGATAGAAATCATGGGCCCAAATAAACCTTTTCTCTTTATAAATGGATTGTCTCGGGCATTTGTTACAGTAATGGAAAGCTGGCTAACATATCTACTTTATTATAACAGAGTTACACTAAACTCCCTTACTCAGGAATTGCACCGAGTGTAGTATCTCTCTCTACCTGAATTCTTTTATCAATAAACGGATGAAGGTGGCACCTTCTTCCTAGGAGACCCTCAAGAAAAAATAAGATAACATGTTTAATATTCTGGCCACATAGTGGGCTTTAGTAAATATTAGTACCTTTTACATTTGTACCTTTTCCAACACAAAGTAAATAGTTGATTCATGAATAAGTTACTGTAATATCTATCAGTATTAAAATCAACTTCAAATAACTTATATTTGATTCAGTCTGTTACACCAAAGCAAAATGATAATCCATAGAAATTTTCAAATCCCCTACATTAACGTCTGTATTTTGAAATAAGGTCTCATGTATCCCAAGCTAGTGGTAAACTCATCACGTAGCAGAAGATGACTTTGGACTTTTGATCTGCCTATCTCTCCTTCACAAATTCTGGGACTGTAGGATTGCATCCCTATGCTCAGTGTATCCAGTACTGGGGATCGAACACCAGACCTCAAGCATGCTAGGCAAGCATTCTATCAATGGAGTGATATCTCCAGGCCTGTTCTATCTTTTAAAAGGATACTTTCCAGTTATTCAAAGACTGACAGACCTGGAATGTGAGGCCACATGAAACAGGTGCACATGTAGTAGGATAACGTTGAAAGCATGCTTTAAGGAAGTCTCTTTTGTACCCTATACCAGATTCTAGAATGATGACCAAAAAGAATAAAATGGAAATCAATTACAATATAGTAAGGCATCATCTATAATAGAATTGCATAAAACACACTTTTTTAAACAGACCACTGAGCATTCCTCCACAGCAATGCTATTGCTTTGCAACGTGATTCATTTCCATGAATGTATGTATGAATATATGTATGAATGTATAGATGTATGTATGTATGGATGGATGGATGGATGGGTATATAGACAGTCATGTCCATTTGGTGGCACCATCAAATTTCATGCTGTGAGTTCCAGTCAAATGTCATTCATGCCACCACTCCTGATATTATTCCTAAGCCTCCAGATTCAAGTCTCTCTCAACAACAGAATGTTGTGGAATTTGTTTAGGATAGTCAGAAGAGACTCCTGATAGCCCTCTGTGTAAGCTGTTGGCCTGAGAACCAAGTTCAGCTTATCATCCATGATGTTCTCGCCTCTCAGCTGAGCCCTACCCACAGATCCAGTCCATTCGGAGACAAACGTCTCTCTGGTCACAGAATGGAGAAAACGGAGCTGTCAAAGCAAGGATGGTGCTTGCCCCATTTTATCAGTCACTTGGTCGTGAATCCAACCACACTTGTCCTTCCAAGGGCCTCAAGCCAACACAAGGCTGCGGAAAGAGGAGGCAAGGACATCTTAGAAGTAAATCCTGTTTATTCATCCTCTAGGAATCATTTGCTTGCTTGAATCAAGCTGCCGTGGCCTTTCTTCTTACACACATTTCCAGTCCTTTGGATAAAAGAACTGCTGGGCTATGGTTTTGCTCCCAGATATTCACAAATGTCTTGTTTCCTTTATCCTGTGTTCATATTCTCTTGCTACCTCTCCCTCTGAAATGTGGTGTGAAAAACATGATGTGTGTGCTTTACTCTCAATTTTGTTCTCAAAGTAACCATATGTGTGTGTGCATATATATATATTACTTCGCATATATGCATATCTTGTTTCCCCCTAATGGATGTGTGTATTTCCTGGCCTCAATCCAATTTGACTGGTTGTGGTTACAGTTGTAGGGAGAAGGTCAAAGAGAGACTATCAAATCAGATAGATAGCATGCTAGAATAACCAAGGCTTCTAAGAAAAAAAACAATTTTGACACATAGGAGACTGTATCTCTGTGTGGACACTGTCTGCGCTGCCAAGCCCTCTTCCCACGGTGACAGCAACCTCCCTCAGACCTCAGGGATGCCCTGTCTTCCTGTCATGTTGTGAATAGCCAGCCCAGAGCTGTATTTTGGTCTTTCTGTTGGAGAAGACTTAAGAGAAGAAGGGAGACTCCCCCATCTGAGTTGCCAGCACTCTGGATGGTACTTTGCGTGTTACCACAGAGGTCCCATTTTGCACAGATGGAAACTGAGGTATGGGGAGAGTGTCAGCTTTGCCTACCCTTTCTGAGGAACGGCTCCGTGCTCTTCGTGGAAATATGGGTGATGTTTTTGTGCCCCAAATTTGTCTCGATTTAGAAAACCAACTGTCTTTATATGAGCTTGAGATGGGAAATAAGCAGGGAGTAAAAATCTCTCTGTGCAAGCAGGAACGCTAACTCCAGAGCTAGTGAAGATGTGGGAAGGCAAATCCATTTAGCCTTTCTTCTGTGCATTAGGGACCCTTGTGAGAAACTTGCAAGCAACCCAGAGAGAAAGAGAGAGAGAGTGCGCGCGCAGACAGCAGGGAGTGAACAAAGCAGATACCTAGTGTATATAGATAATATCCAACTCTAGTATCAGGGAGTGTGTGGCCAGGGAGGGCATCTCCTAGGAAACCATCAGATTATACCGAGAGAGACAGGCTTTAACATAAAAAGAGCTGCAGGGGAAACAGCGTGCTTCAGCCAGGAACAAACTGTGTTCCACCACGCTCCAGTCATTTCTTGTACAACAAATAGACCTGCATGGTTTATGTGGGTACAGCTGCACCCAGGGCGGGGACTCCGATGTTCCCAGTTCTCATCTCCACCTACTAGGTGAAGCACAAGAAGCAGAGGGCTAACCATTCACCTTACCAGCCCACCTTGGGACTGGGGTAGGGTCTGTAATTACAGCACTACAGAAAAAAAAAAAAAAGCATGAAACATAGAAGGAGAGTTCTTGGAGGCTGAGCTGCTGGAAGCATATGGGGTCCTGGCAGCTGCTGACAGACACAAAGGTTCCTGGGGATGGGAGGACTGGTCAGTAGTTATGAGCACTTGTTTCTCTTCCAGAGGACTAGAATTCGGTTCCCGGCACATACCCTAGGCAGCTCACAAGTACCTGCAACTCCAGCTCCAGGTTCTAGACATCCACAATACCCCCAACACACATATATACACACATGAATAAAAATAAATCTTTAAAAAGGAAAACCTATAAAACTTTCTTTCTCCACTACCCTCCCTCATTGGCTTTACTTTCTCTCACTTCCTTTAAACACACACATACACACACATACACACACACACACACACACACACCACATACTCACACATCACATATATATACACACATAACACACACACATATGCACACATACACACATAAACACAGACACACACACACACACACACATATATATATATATATATATATATATATATATATATATATACATGCAAGGCATCTATACACATAAAATGAAATTTAAAAATAAATAAAAACAAAACCCCTAAAGCGAGTTCCATTTAAGGTAATCCTCCATTCTCCCATCTGCCTGCATGGCCAGGAAGGCATGGCCGGAAGAGCCTGTCATTTCCAAGCAGAGGCCCACTGGGAATGAGCAGCCCCCATGCATAGCACCAAGTCCCACACTGATGCCCATGGCTCATGCAGGGAACCTAAAATGTTAGTACTCTCGCTGATGACGGGAAACTCTTGGTTGCCTAGCAACAGATAGGGACAGCACAATCATAAATAAATATACTTCAGAATAATTTTCTGAATCTTGTCATTTAGCCATTTAACAAATAACAGCTTCCCGGGATAATGAGATTCCAAGGTTGTTTCGATGTTTCTGTCCCCTTCCTGAACATGTTGCTTCTAAATGATTAGGGACGTATTTCATCCCAATGTTTCTCTTGCCTGGAAGTGTCCCTTGAGAATGTATACGCAGGCCTGCACCGGTAATGGACGGCAGCAAGCTGTCCTGGTTGTGAGCGACTACATGGGTTTTGGTTCCAGAGCTGGCCTGAGTTCTGGTGACCAGGATTTTCTGGATTCTCATGATCTCCCGTCATGACAAGAGATGCTTTGCTAAGTGATAGGGACAGAATTAAAAGGGTGAACCCTTGCCATGTGCAGTAAAAGGAATGGTAAGAAATGTGGCTGGTTTGGGTTGGGGAGATGGTTCCCCGGGTGAAGCGTAGGTTGTGTAAGTGTGGGGAGCCAAGCTGATATTCCCAGAAGCCTCAGAAAACCAGCCAGGTACAGACAGAGTACCACGCATGCTTCCAGCACACTCACCAAGGCATGAGAGGAAGAGATAGGAAAGTCCTTGGAAAGCTTGCCTGTCACCAAGTGTCGCCTAGTCTGGCACACACGGATGTGAATGAGACCCTGCCTCAAATAAAATGGAAGATGAGACTACCCTGTGACCTCTGCCTGTGCACTGTAGTACAAGCACAGCTACACTCTCATAGCATGCGCGCACACGCGCGTGCACCCACACACACACACACACACCCCCCCACACACACACACACAGAGAGAGAGAGAGAGAGAGAGAGAGAGAGAGAGAGAGAGCGCACTGAGGGAGATAGACAGGGACAGACAGAAAGAGACAGAGAGAGATTGTTAAAAAGAAATGTGATTTTCTTAAATGAAGAGGCTGGACTCATAAACCAACAAAGTATATTCTGGTGAGAAGATGGTGTATGTGTTTCAGGACATTCATTTTCATTCATCACCGGAGTGGGAAGAGCTCAGACTCAAGATGGGACAGACCGTTGCCAGGAATACAGAAGCTAAGCAGCGGGGTATCCCAGGGAAGGTACACCATAGGTACTGTAGAAGCAGGCTCTCCACCGCTGCCCTGCATCTCACTAGACAGAAACGCCCTTGGTTGGGTCCCAGTGAAAGCAGCTTTAAGTGCTGCACTGTGCCCCTGCAGCATTGAAGGAGAGCTCTGGTTTGGCTTCCTTGCAAATGCAAACCAATGGTCCCATTATCAATGATGCTCCTGGTGCCAGCAGAGAAGGAGCTACACTCTGCAAACTTTTGCTTCTCTCTCTCTCTCTCTCTCTCTCTCTCTCTCTCTCTCTCTCTCTCTCTCTCTCTCTCCCTCCCTCCCTCCCTCCCTCTGGCTGTTGAAGCTACTTCTGACTCAAAATCCCTCCCCTCGTGCATCCTCCACCCCACCCGCTCACCCTCCCACTTGTCCACTGCCTCTTATTTCTGCTTCCACCTTCAGCCTTCACCCTAGACACTCTGACCTGCCTTTCCTCTCCTTTTGCTAAATTTAGAGGAGAGCTGTCTCCCCGGTGTGAGAGGTTGGGGGCTGTGGCAGCAGGGTACCCGAGCTCATCTTTCCTTGGCTGTCGGCAGTGAGGGAAGGACAAATGTCAGGAAGACCTGCTGGCTGGTCGCCCTCCCCCGCCCCCCTCCCCATATCAGCTCCTCAGCTGAGTCTCTTGACAGGCAGGGTAAGAGGAAGAGGGCACGGGGACCTTTGAAGTTTGGCTGCCTGTCACCAGAGCTCAAAGAGACCGAGGGCTTGTCAGAGCACAAGTCACTAGGGCTCTTCCCCTTTCCCAATTAATTCAGTTGGCTCCAGAAGGAAGAGATTGTGATCTGCCCAGAGCCGAGGCACGGGCTCAGCTCACTGGTGCGACGCTGCAGCATCTTAAATCCTCAAGTGCTGGACCATAGCCATGGCACCAAAGTTTACTCAGCCCTCTTAGGGCAGCTTCCCCTGAACACCAGCCCCAAAGGAAGCGTGTAAAGATTCCCTTCTCTTGGTCTCACCCTTGGGCTATATACTTGTTGATCAAAAAAAAAATTAGGAATCCTGGCCCTAGATCTTCCTCCTTCTTTGGGTTTACTTTTTCCCATCCCCCAAGGCTACCTGCAACCCACATACCAGTCATTTGTAATAGGGTGATCAATCTCATGCAACTTCTGGGAATATATGGGAAGGAAAAGCATAGCTTCTCTTGGAGGTTGGGTTAAGAAAACAGAGCGGAATGAAGATGAACAAAGTACAATGTGTGTGCTTTTGGAAATGCCACAAAGAACTCCATTGCTCTGTGTGCCGTCCTCGCCACTTTTCCCGTTGCTGTGACAGCACACCTAACAAAAGTAACTAGGAAAGGCTTTGTTCTGGCTCAGCATCTGAGTGTCTACCATATCTTGTCAGGGCCATGACGGCAGGAGCCTGAAGCGAGTGATCACGTGGCATGTACAGTTAAGAAACAGAACTAGATGAATGGTATGACTCAGTTCACTTCCTCCTTTTCATTCAGTCAGTTCAGGACTCCAGACCAGAGAATGGCAGCACTCAAACTCAGCTAACGCCTTTCCCTCTCAATTAGCCCAATCTAGAAACTCCCTCAGAGTCATGGCCAAAGGTTTATTTCTATAGTAATTTCAAATTCCTTCAAGTTTGATGATCAAGATCAACCATTGCATATGCCGAATGAAAACATTGGTACGGTTGTCAGAAGAAGATCTGGGACCCCAAAGCAAACACCAACCACATTTTGCCCATTCTTCACCTTTATAATTAACAGTTTTGATTCTTAAACTAAAGTTGAACTGATGCTCATTTTGTGACCCCTGCCATCCAGTCCAGGGCATACTCACATTTATCAGTGTCTGCCCAACCCTCTGCCACCCCTGTTAGAGCTGCCTCAAATTACCCATAAGCAGCTAATGGCCAAGCCTGCATATTTCCAGGGTCTTCTCAATGAACATACAGAAGAATGGAATGGGGCCATGGGTTGGGTGGGGGAGCATCAGGAAGAACCCTGTTCTTGTTGCAGGAATGGTATTAAGTTGGCATCCAGAAATGGGTGAGAGGTCAAAAAGGAAATATGCCATGGTAAAAATCAGTCATGCCTTCAGCATCACTAAAGGAAGATTCATGGGAAAGACTCAAGGCAGAGCATCTGTGGGAAGAACATGGCATTTCTGCTCAAAAAGAATGTTATCATTTTAAGGGTAACAGCAGGCTGGGCTGGGCTGGGTAGATGGCACTGGTGTAGAATTCAGAAGTCTCAAGTTCTTCTGTGTGCTCTATCGCCAGTTAGCTGGATGGTTCTTAGTAAGTCCCTTTACCTCTTTGAGCCTTGATCTCTTGATCTATAAAAATGAGGGTCGTGCATGCCAAGTGCATCTCACAGGAATGATATGGGGACCGAGTTCAGTGGCAGATGGGGAAGAGCTTTGAAAGGTGTGATTTGGAAGCTGTTGGCTATACAGATTGTATTGGCAAGACAACATAAGGCCACACAGAAGGATTTTGGAGGAGAATTAAGCCTTTAAAGCCATAGACTGAAAGACAATGTGAAGTCAAGGAACCAGGTATAGTTCGGGTGGATATATAGGATGTGTGATGCTTTCATGGGATGCCTATACATGGATCCAGTTGTCCACATTCCAGAATTTAGCCTTGTATCACTAGTACTATTTCATTTGAACTTGGAGTAATCTAGTAAAGGACCATTTATTTATGTACTGTGTATGCCCAACTGCTCTAAAGAAATACAATGCATACAGGAAATTATAGAAGCCATGAACTGCTGAGGAGTGATATATAGCACATGTCAACATCCTATAGACCTAAATCTAAGGGCCCATTCTCGACCATGACTACCCTTTCTTAGTTTGACTTCAAATGAACTGTGCAGGGATGTCTGAGAAAATCACATGTAGAGTCATAAGCTGGTAAGTTAAGTGGGTTTTTTTTGTTTAGATTTCTCCCTAGAGCCATAGGTCCTGATAATATATCTGACCTTTGCCCATAAATAGTGACTGTGTATGGACCTGAAATGATTTGACTGGATTGACAACTTTATAATATGCCCAGGTACCAGGAAACTGGAGAAGTTGGGGCATTCCATGGGATAAGGAAGTATACATGCATCTAATAGAGTCATTGCTTCCTGAAGACAGTGGGTCCACAGAAGGCATTCAGTTGACAGCGCAGCTCAGTCATGTATGCCAGGACTAGCTGAAGGACTATCTAAGGATCACACTTATTCCTCTAAACGAAACGTCTCACCTCCAGCTAGAGGTCCAGACTGGGAACTGGCAAAGCAATGATAGATGACTGTTTTTCTTCCTGCCCTCATGACTTCCTTATTTGGTCTTCTTAACATATATTTTATTTCAACCTGGTGTTACTTAATGTGTGAAAACCAGCCTGAAGAACCAGCTCTTACACGGTAGAATCACTCATTGGTTCACTGTGGCTGAACACACAGCATGTTTCAGACAGAACAAGACATGGGGTTATGAGGAAGGGCTTTACCTGGTAAGGCAAGTGACTCCTGCTCATAGCAACATATGCAAAAATCTATCAACCGGGTCTGAGAGAAGAGCAAGAGTATCTAGAGAAGACCTCAGCAGAGGACACGGGTGACAGGCTCCACTGTGTCACCCTCAGTGGGGTAGAAGCTGCTGTTATTGTCACACTGTCAGGAAGAGGTACAGACTGTCCTTACCATGCAGACTATAGGGAGCTGCACCCTCCAGGACACATGGAAGCACACTCTGACTTTATGTCCTCATGGAGTGCAATGGAAATGAATATTTAAAGGTATGGTGTCATAAAACTGTGGGAAATGAGGGAAACACAAGCCTTTGGGGCCTGCTTGCTACACACGGCACCAGAATATGCACATTTACTGCTCCCCGACTGCTTTTTAACTCATTCACAGAAATGCCACACCCGCACACTGGCACTGTGCCCTTCACCCTTGAAGTTTAAAAGTCACAGAGAGAACTTCTAAAGGGTGGTGAGGTAAAGGCTTAGCCGCCACTGCTGGACCAGAAGGAGCCACTAGGAACCAGCACTGCCCAGCTGCCTGAAGCTACAATGAGGCATGCACCCTGGAACAGGAAAAGGATCAGGCCGCTCAGTGGACAGGGACCAGGCACAAGGATAACCTTTCCTGTTCCACTCTCTTATTTAAGTTAATTCTCATGGCAGTACTTGGGAAAATACTTTTAACTAGAGTTGTATAAGTAATGCTATATGTAATATGAATATGCTCAGGATTTATCTCTAGATTTATATATTAAACTACCAACCTTCTAAGTCCAGTATTTGACAGTACACAGACATACACACAATCACATACACACCCGTGCACATATGTACATACTTCTTTTACACTGGCACCTGCTATGATTACTCCTGTATGTATTTCAAGTGAAGCTTTTGTTTCGTCCTAACTCAGGCTACACCATTTGAACCATCCCAAAATGTAATGTTTCAATAGGACCAAGACTCCTGGAGGAAAGAAAGCCTGGTCTCCTGAAACCTTGCCAAGCCCACAGTCTCATCGGGAAAACCAGTGGCACCCTCCATCCTGGGCACTTCCGCTGTGAGTCAATGGCCATAGTGTTCTCTGGTCACTGAAACCTAAATCAGGAGGACACCCCCAGAATCTAGATCTAGGCCAGCCTTGTGAACAAGTAAATTTCACAGAGGTACAGAATAAAACTGAGAATCTGAAATCCCATCTCCCTCTCGGCAGCCCCATTAGGATGACGGAGAGCATCACCGTTGACCATGAAGTAGAAAGGCCTTTCGCCAGCCTCAAAATCTTTCCATGATACAAGATTCAAGGATGAAAACATGGTGCTTGTCATTCCTTGGTGGTAAGATCAAGGATGGCCCACAGGCAGAAAGGGAAGCCAAGACTATTAACCCCAAAGTCTTGCTCAGGGGGACCATGAGTATGAGTGAATACTGATTTTCAGATGCTGCGGGGGGGGGGGGGGTCATCTCAGAGCAGATTCTGTGTCCTTTGTTCAATTCAGCTAAAGCAGGATGG